TAGTGCATCTCTCCACTGGGAGGGTATACGGATATATGCTGTCTTTGACACACTTTCTGGGCTCTCCTGTCTCTCTCTCAGAGCTCTGAACACGCCTTGATGCAGAAGAATAACCTTTATGAATAGCCCCAAGAGTGCCATTACATGTTCTCTGAAGAGCAGATGGATAAATGGCACCCAGATAACTAATGGCAATATGTCAGGGTTTCTATTTTTGGCAGTATTTAGTTACAGTTTTGGGGCAAATCCTGTATCATGTAAAAATACCATCGGAGCAGGAGGGAAAATGAGCATAGCTGTGAGTAAATGCAGCGGGGTCGGACACCACCTTCCTCTCTTTTCTTCATCCGTGAGTGAAGAACAAGCTTTGGTAAAGTTCAACGAGGAAAAGCTCATCTCCGGACAGACATTTCGTACCAGATGTCGCCCGCTGCTGCATGGCATCACGCCTCTCTCTTCTCTCAGCTGCAGTGTCAGAGGACCAGCTGCAGCCGACTGTTTGCCGTTTCCTGCGTCTGTTTGTGTATTTGTGTGCATGTCAGCTCTATACGGCACCGGGTTTCCTGTCTCTCTCCAGTAGGCTCCGTTTTTCTAATGACCAGGATCCTGCAGCAGGGTGCATTCAGGCGTTCCAACTGTGACCGTCTTACAGCTGAGCATGCTGATTCTCACACACACACACACACTCAAACATTCACACAGGGACAGCGAGACAATTAGGTGTCAATTTATTTTGCATGCATTGCAGAGACTTCGTTGTTCCAACTTCAATACTTGTGTTTCACTACTGATATGAAAACAAATTATTCCATACTCTTTTATGAGGAACAAGTATAACTTCAATTAAAATGTATTAAAATAAGCCATTGTAGTCTAAACACAAGCAGCAGTGCAAGAATTTACAAAAAAATCGAAATAAATAAATACATTTGAAACACTGACATATTTTCTTAATTAAATCAATATCTAATCAAAGAAAGTTAACAAGTTTAAACTATGTTTAGACACCTCAAGCTGCATTCTTCTTATTTTGGCCACTTTGCAGCAGCAGAACACTGAGATAATATCCGCTTATAAAGAGATACAAGTATCCTTTTAAACTCCCAGCAGACATGCAGTAATATTAAATTACATTTGGAATTTTTATAAATGGAAGTCCAATAGTTTCTCAACTTTCAGCCGATTTTATCTCTACCAAATTATGAGGCAAAAAACGCACATTAATCAATAAATGCTCCAGTATGTTTACCAGCAAGACACTCATTTTTGTCTGTCTGCAGTTTGCTGCGTGTAAGGCTATTTGCCTAACACGGCTTTTTACTGAAAACATCTGCCGGCTGCACCTGGAAACAAGATTAGCAAGAGGCTTTTGTGCCAGAAACAGAAACAATAAGCTGAAAGTTGAAAGACAATCTTTAAAGCTGACTGAAACGTTTCCATTATTTAGACAGGAATATTGATTAATGCCTAAGATATGTGTCCTAAGGTCCAGCTTTTGGTACCTTGAAGATAGAGTTTGATAAAAAGGTATAAACAGATAAAACATTTTATTGAAAGAACATATACCAGAAAGTCCTTCATTTCTACTCATTTGAAATCATATCTTGGTAATTAATGTTGTGTGGAAATAACTTTCCTGGAAGCCTGATAACAGCAATGACTGATGTGTCCCTCTTGTAATTTAAATATAAATAGATTCCCTCACGTATTTAGTCAAACAGCTAAACCTCTGATGTGATTCTTACCTCTCCACAAACCAGAACCGAACTGCAGGTGCACTCTGCAGGGGAAGATTAATGACGCTGGCTAACCTGCAGACAGGTTCTCATTTCCCCTGGTTAAAAATACATTGAAGCAGGACTTACATTCCAGTAAGGACAGAGGGAACAAAGCGACTCAGCAGTTCTGAGCACCTGGAGCTGAGTGCAGTCTGTCCTGCAGGACCAAGGTCTTTGATGCTCTGCCTGAAAGTGAACCAGGGGGTAAATTGCACTTAAAAATTATGGATGGTCATATTATATGTTTTAGCTTCCTATTCCTCCTCTTTCAATGTTATTTACCTTGAGGAGTCTTTGTAACCACGAATCAAAAGTGGACCACATTTGACTGAAATAGCCCTTGAGCCACATCTGTGTTTGACATTTAAATCATTGTCATTTAGACCTAAATCTGACCATAAGAAAATTAACAAAACCAAACAAAGAATACAAATAAACTCAACATAATTATTTAAAGTGCAAATAAGCAGTTACCTTTACAGAATGTATGCATTTGACTGCCTGAGTAGATAGTAAGAAATTATGCAAACGGTATATTATTTAATTGGACAATAACAGGAGGCATTCTGCGCGTATTTGCTGTTTGTTTGTGTAATATATAAGGATTCTCTTTTTCTCAGCTCATAAATCCCTGTCTTTGTTAAAATGCTGCTTTATAGAAAATGAGCCTTATTCTACAGAAGTGGATTTTGCTTTGTAACACTAAAGCTTCCTGCAAAGTGAATTTCATGTTGCCTTCAAGTCTTCTTTTGTGCTCAGCCAAAGTGCGTAAAAAGAGTTTTCAGCGCTTTTTTCACTAACAGTGTCTTTTTGGAATTTAAAGGTTGTTTCCTGACCTGCATGACGATTTCCAAGCAGACAGGCCGCGCATGTAACAAAAAACAGTTGAAAATAATTATTTGAGGTTTCAGTGACTCAATGTGTTTTTTTCTCTGACCTGAATAACACTAAGATGAAGATAATAATGATAATAATGATAATAAAAGCAAGAAAATAACTGAATTGGTGATGTCGGAAGAGGGGCTTGCACATAAGATGAAATGACTCACAAGAGCAAAAAGCATTGGAAATCATAGTGTTGCCAAATATTCATAGAGAAAGAAATGTACAATGCATTATCCTACAAATATATGTAATTTGGGTTTAGTATTAGTTATTCCAGAGAGCTATCATTAACTTGGAACAAAATCTAAAATAAACAAAGCAGCACTATTACCTATTCCGAAATTAAAATGATATTGTCGACAAGAATAGATAAAGGGCAATATGGAGAATCACATCACTTCTCTAGCTTTTGAAATGTCATTAGTTCAAAATTGTTTGTGAGTTGTTAAGTTGTTAAGTTGTTTTAGACTCAATATAAGTCTAAAACTCAATATGAGTCTAAAACAGAGCTGCTCAAAGCAGTTCCAACAAAATGTGTAAGACACTAGCAGGATTTTAAGAGCAAAAATATACCCAAACCCTGGCCAGCAGTAGTAACTCAGTATATCCAGTAGAGGGCAAAACTGAGCTATTTTCAGATTGATGTAGCCTGCACAATAACACAGCCTTACAGTCCAGCAGCATATCAGCATAATTTAAACTTCTTAATGATACAATAGTAGTTTATAGAAACTGTCTTCACCTCTAAATCCTAAAATGTTGGATGTACCAATTATACAGCAATACATGTCAAAACACCTGGTGCTGCTCACTATACATAAACTATAAATAGTTTAAACTCTAATTAATTAAGTCAAAAATAAATAAATTATGATCAAAATTGTTTCCAACTTCATCATTGTTGAATAAAGCATTACATAGCCACATGTCATTTTGTATGGGGTAAATTATAACATTCCTGGATGACAGATTAACAGATAATGGAACTGCATGTACTGTAGGTTGCAGACCTTAGAATACAAGTAAAGTTAGGATTGTTATTTAAAAAAACTCTCATACTCTCCATAAGGAGGATATACAGCCTTGTGATTAATTTAAACTCCTCACAGTTTCACAGGTTTGGTTTCTTTGCATCACTTTGGCTCTCAGACACTTTGCACCAGAGACGGTGAAAATGACGTCAGACCTAGTTGGCATGCCAACTCAGAGAAAGGAGCATGTCTGAAACTCAGCAGCTGAGGAGAAGGAAACAGAAGAGCGCTCATGCAGCTTTGCATGATTCTTCTTGACTGAATTTCAACATGTTTGCCAGCTCACTGCCTTAAGCTAATTTAGTAATAGTGCTGATTGATATTGTTTTAATCCCCTTTAAATACATTATTATGTGTATCATGATTAAAGAAAACTGCATCTGAGTTCTTATCTCCAAGGACACTGAGGTGATAATGAAGCACAGTTGGAAAGTCTTTGTAAAAAAATGCAGCACAATGCCATAGTTACATCAAAGGGGGTTACCCAGGAAACCACCGTCGTCATGGAGACTGCATCACAAGGCGGGATCAGCGAGGAGCACGAGGCGGGACGTTCTGCGCGCGCAATCGCTCCATTCATCCAGCTGTTGTCATCCTGTCGTCACCGCGCACATGACCCTTAAGCACACGATTATTTACACTTTATATATTTCATATTCCCCTCTGCTCGCTCTGCCTGGACATGTGCAGTGATGATTGGCGAAAGGTTATCATTGCATTTCGAGTCAGGATCAGTTATTTTGCGTTTTATTTAATATAGGCTATAGGCAGTTCTGAATAAAAATACAATTTTACAAAAAACTATGATAGGCGTTTCCATCTACACCACATGGTGTGTTTTTACCTGAATAATCATGTGAACAGAGTCCATCATCGCGACAGGTTATATTAAATATAACCTAAACAGACATCTGGCTAAATACCATAATCTATTCATTACATTACTGGACAATGAAAACGTTTGTTTCCACGAAGCACAAGACTGGAGGGTTAATGCTAGTAGACTATATGTTACACGTGTATCCCAATCATGAACCACAACAACGTTTGCATTAACATCACGATATGTAGGCATCGTGTGGTACTATACACTGCACAAATATAAGTTTTAACAAGCCGCATAAAGTAAAACAAACATTCCAGTGCAAATGTTTTGGGTCATATCAACACTTATTGATTTGTGAGAAATACTCAAAATGTTTGAATCTACACTGGAGACACATAAGCGAAATGTCTCACTTGCTTACATCAAAAATAATAATAAATGACTTGTTAAAACGGACATTTACGCACGTTCATCCACAGATATGGACTGACACATTACAATTGGCTATAGGCTATATAGAAAAATAATAGCTATGTCTTCAAGCTCCATAAATGATGCCTTCTGGAGTTCATTTACACGTCTGTGAAGATCTTTTTGATGTTCACGCAGTTCTGGTTGTTCTCGGTGGTGAAGTTGGGCTGTTTGAAGGCGCTGTTGATGCTCTCCTCTATCACCATGTACTCAGACTTGCTGAGGGACGAGGAGCTACACGACCTCCTCAGCTCCTCCGAGGGGAGGTGCTCGCAGCTGCTGGTGTGCACGTACTGCAGGTGCTCCTCTCCGTCAGTCTCCCTGTGGTAGAAGTAGTTGAAATTGGACACAATCACTGGCACGGGTAAGGCAATGGTAAGCACGCCTGCTATTGCGCACAGCGACCCCACTATTTTCCCACCAATGGTCACCGGATGCATGTCTCCATATCCGACTGTGGTCATTGTGACCACTGCCCACCAAAACGCATCCGGGATGCTGGTGAAGCTGGACGCGGGGTCGTCTGCTTCTGCAAAGTAAACCGCGCTGGAGAAGAGAATAACTCCGATGAAAAGAAAGAATATGAGCAAACCGAGCTCCCTCATGCTGGCCTTAAGTGTCTGGCCCAAAATCTGAAGTCCCTTTGAGTGACGTGAGAGCTTAAAAATGCGAAAGACCCTCACCAGTCTGATCACCCTCAGGATGGCGAGCGACATCGCCTGCTGGCCGCCGCTGTTTTCCGTTTCGGCCAGCTCGGTCCCCAAAGTGATGAAGTAGGGGAATATGGCGACGATGTCAATGATATTCATGATGTTTTTGGAGAATGTAGTTTTGCTGGGGCAGGCGAAAAACCTGACCAGCAACTCGAAAGAGAACCAAATGATGCAGAGGGTCTCTATCACAAAGAAAGGGTCTGTAAACGGGTTTGGCTTGTAGGGAGCTGTGCCATTCACTGTGGGCTCCACTGTGGCTGGGTCTCTATCATCCCGAAATTGCGGCAGAGTCTCCATGCAGAATATAACAATTGAGATCAAAATAACAAGCACTGAAACTATAGCTATCCCCCTGGCTGGTCCAGAGCTCTCAGGGTACTCAAACAAAAGCCAAACCTGCTTTTGGAAATCATTTTTAGGCAGTATGCGTTCCTCTTCTTTTATAAAGCCTTCATCATCACGGAATTTCTCCATTGCCTCCTCTCCGAGTTGATAAAACCGTATCTCCTCGGAAAAAATATCAATGGGCACGTTAACAGGTCTCCGTATGCGCCCCCCGGACTGGTAGAAGTAGAGGATGGCATCAAAGCTGGGTCTGTTCCTGTCAAAAAAGTACTCGTTTCTCAGTGGGTCAAAGTAGCGCATCCTTTTCCTGGGGTCCCCCAGCAGCGTGTCTGGGAACTGGTTGAAAGTTTTAAGTTGCGTCTCAAAGCGTAACCCCGAAATGTTGACGACCACCTTCTCGCAGCATCCCTTCCGGCCGCGCTCGTATCGATCCCCGGACAGGTGAGGCGTCGACAGCACCCCGGGGTCCTCCAGCATGTTTTCGGCCGTCATGACGCCCCTCTCCACTTCGACATAACCCCGGCTCTCAGACGCGTTGCTGCCCGTGTGCCTGTTGCTGGACCGGGGCTGGATCGCGCCGAAGGTCTGGTCATCCATACAGGTGGTTTTCGGTGTGAAGGGGCAGAGTGCGGCACGCCTCTCCCGGCCAGAGCCTACACAGCTTCAGAGAGCCGCGGCCGACGCCACTCACATCTCTTCTAACCATCACCTATCTCCGCGTATCCACACAGGCGCTGCGCTCCCCTCAGCCTTTTCCTTTTTTTCTCACTTTACAAACACGTCGACACCCGCCCACGGCGTGCACATGTCTGACATACGTCCAACCCTCCCATTCAAAAATGTACTTCACAGCGCACACACCTCCATTCAAGTGTGGTGGGATAAAAACCCTTGAGGAAATCACATCCACACCTGTTCGATCCAAGTTGGAATATGTGGGTTCAAACAGGTATAAGCAGACATGAATCTATGGACGTACTGCTGTGTTAAGTCACACATTGCTCTCTGTGTATCAGAAAACGCACAATGCCCTATTTCACAGTCTAACACTTTTGACACATCAGATCATGTTGTCATCAGACATTGCTTCACTTTTCCCACAGAAACTGAGCTGATGTAATTAGGGTTTTTTCAGAAACACTGACAGCAGAAACTGAACTGTGCATGCGCAGATATTCGCTTTCCAAAGCAGATGTAAAAACTATTTATTTGTGTCTTATTTTCTAGTTGTTGAGTAGGTGTTGCTCTCCGTGGTGCTGAAAACAAGCGCGCACCAGCTTGTGAATCAATGCGCGCTCTCCAGCACACGAGCGTTAAGTTATGCATGTGCACACGTGTGTGTGTCTAGCGATGTTTTTATTAACTGAACACACAAAAGCCTCGGGATCAGTCACCTCATTTCCAGTAGGAAATGAAAAGCCTGTCTGCTATCTGTTGATAGAACCGCCTCAAAGAAGGGTCTCAAGTGTCATTCTCTTTTACAGCTGGATCTATGACCAAATGCAAAATCTGTGTTGTTTGTAATTCAATCTGACAAGCTTCATCAAAGACGTCTGTCACTGTCTGTGGCTTCAGGAGCACGCACACATGCATAATGAGTTCAAATGGGATTCAAGGCTAAGGCACAATCTGCTCTTTTCATTCATTCAATCGTTTCCATTGTGCAACCCTTGGTTTAGATTTCCACATGTGAATCTCAAAGGAAAAGCTGAGCCTATTCTTTCCTAATATGGCAACATCTTGTAACCCTCTGTAAATGTACTCAGAAAATCCTCTTAAAGCTGATGCAAGTGATCTAAAAAAAACTATTGACCTCTTTTGCACTGCCTAGGGCATAGAGAAACCCATCATAGACTGTGTTTACATGGACATGAATAAGAACAATAACCCATTTTTGATCAGGTTTGTTGAATATCCTGTTTGTGTTTTTAATTAGACACCATATTCTGAGTATGAGCTTCACCACGAAAAAGCAGTCCCTTCAACTGCTCATCACATGTGTTAATTGAAGAAATGGCTGGGCTATATTTCAATATTGTGATCTATAATGATCTTCAAATCAAATCAAGTTTTATTTATATAGCACATTTTTAAACGATTTTTGGTCAAGCCAAAGTGCTGTACATATAATAAAAATACTCTACAGTAAAGACACTTTACAGCAAATACAACAGCACAGTTTGTGCAGAATATCAGTATGAGAAAACGACACCCTCTGTCCTTTAGACCCTCACATGGTACAAGGAAAAACTTTCGGAGAAAAACCCACAGTTTAAAGGGAAAAATGGGAGAAACCTCAGGGAGAGCAACAGAGGAGGGATCCCTCTCCCAGGACGGACAGACGTGCAATAGATGCCGTGTGTAAGAGATAATACGTTTTACAGCGTAGGTAGACCGAATGTTTGGAAATGCATGTGTCTATAATAAGAAGATGAATCCACGAGGATGTCAACAACAATCCTGTGGGAGCCATCAGGGAAGCAGCACACGTCTTCTTTCTAAGACGTGATAAAAACATAAATCGAGATATACATTGTCTTACAAGCTGATACTAACTCAAATTGCATATTGTATTTAATTGTACAGTAGTACCAAATGTAAATACAACATGGAAATCTAATATTTTATTGAATAACCAGAAAAAATGCTAATGTCTTATATATATTATATTTAATTCATTCAATTATATATATATATATATATATATATATATATATATATATATATATATATATATCAAGGAAAACTGAGATCTGAAGTCTGTCTAAATTGTCATCACTTTATAAATGTATAACATTTAAAATGTTGTGTGAAATTGTCATATTAAGCTTCTTCATTCTTGAACTATGGCCAAAAGAGGCTTTGTGAGGTTCACAGTGATCTGGATACCCCTAAAAATAAAATCAGTATTGAGTCCAAGTAGAAGTTTAAAATTCCTTCAAAGTGTTCCGACATCCTGTTCACAAGACTGGGAGAGGCAGACTGACACCCGAAAACCGAATTTTGTTGCCACATCAGGAAAGTGTGAAATAACTCCACAGAAAACAAAAGTGCTAAAACTAAACCTAACCTCAGATGTGCTGAATGCCGTTTTCACCACAGTGTGGTCAGCAGTTTCTTTAGAATCTCACATTTTGTTGATATTGTCAAAGCACATTGCTATACTTTTAAGTAACAATGTTTCACCTAAAACCACTGGGTTAAAATACTGGCATGTGGGAACCTACCCGTGACAAAAAGGAACACTTCTTTGAAAAGTTATTTTAGTTCTGTCATTTGTCTGCTCTCTGCAACCTAGAGGTGCAGTGACTGTTGTGTTAGTCAGATTATCTTGCTATTTTACACAAAGTCTTAATATCTTTAAAAAAAAGGTGAACAAGGGACTTCAAACACAGAGCATGGATCTACAGTTAAATGGTTAAAGAAAACATAAAATGCCAATCCTGGCTGGTGCCATCTTAATGAAAGGACCCCTGACCTCTGAACTTAACCCAAACAGACTCTTAAACTTAGACATGTTTTACATTAAAGGTGAAGACGTGGATTCATTGAAAGTTGAAAACAATATTAAATATTCTCTTTATCACGCTTCTCCAAAGTGATCAATTGCTGCCTTCTCTGATAAAGATTGGAGTGAAATTCCTGAAAACTGACCAGTCATGATTTCCAAATGAATATTTAGAAGTTGAGATCAGATATGCGGATTGAAGTGTTAAATGCAGTCCTATATTTCACATAATTTGTACGACAAGCTCGCTCCACAAAACAAATTGACACTGTTGTAAGTTTGTTATTAAAATGCTGCCAGGAGGCACAGTACATCACCTTTCTTAAGCTAATAAAACTAAGGTGTTTTATTAACTCAGCTTTGTAAATTCAATGTATTGCATGACAGTTAATATTGAGCAGAACGTTAATCATGCTCTTATTAAAAACCTCCCAGTAGTTGCCTCTCAGTTAAAGTGCAGGAACTTTTTGTCTGCAATTCTCATCTCCATGGCAACTCAACATCAAGTGTTTTGTAAAAGAGGAATGGAGATAAGATGAAGTTACATCATTTCCGATCCAAATCGTGCAGGAGAGAACCGCCATAAGACTTATTTTTTGTACATCTCCGCTGAGAAATGAACACGTTACATATGAGGATTAAAAATGAGCGAGGCTGGGTGTTTTTGTTTTGTTTGGGATTGTCGACTGTAATCATCAAACGAGAAGGAAATGAATGAAAAGAGGGCAGATATAAAGCTTTGGGCACACTTTATTTCTATAACAACACTCATTATCAAACAGCTTTTGGTTATGAAAGCATTGTTCCCTCTTTGTTTCTTGTATCCACTTCACTCCCCAGTTTAATACCATAACTGAAAATAAATGCAATGTAAATTCCTCTGGGTCATGCAAACAGTATTCATGCTTGTCAACATAGACTGTGTTCGAAAAATACGATTTGCCTGATTTCTCTTTAGTTTAGATGAACTCCTAATGATATAAGGGGCTGGGGATTACCATCGTTGATGGCTACAGCCTGAGACCGAGTCTTCTACATGCAGAAAAAGTGCTTTCCTGATTACATTGTTATGCATATATGTGCCTCTGTGGGTTTGACAGAGAGGGGGAAAAACAATCCTAAAGACGCCATGGTTATAATGTAAATCCCATGCAGATACCATCAAAGTGAGGGAGAAGGTGTCAGTCTTGACATCCAGTCACAGTATCAACGCTAGCGATGATTTATTGTCTTTCACACAAGCCAAAGATTTTCCTTAGATACGGGCCTTGCTGTACACATGCCTATATCAAATCTCAAATGCATTCACAAATGCTTAATAGAGTTTTTATTCCACAAGGTCACGCAACCCATTTTCTAACCCATCCTGTTTGCCCGCTGAGGATAGAAAATAGATCTTGTGTATCCAAACCTCTGCAGCTGAAGGCCGCTAAAGATAGGCTTTTTATCAGTCTGGGAAGTAAAAGAAAAAATGACTTATTAACTTTGGCAGAAGCTGCAATTTAAAAGAGACATTATAAATTGCCTTGTGCTTGTGTCCCGGAGGGAGAAGAGGGCATTTCATGTAATAATCCCTTTCCAAAAGATCTTAACAGCATTTCTCATTCTTCAACATTATAGACGCTGTCAGGAAAAAGAGGGCTGGTTTCCATCAAAAGTGACAACGCTTGCTTTGAGTAATGACGAGCAAGGCTTCATTTTCTGTCTGGCTCTCAGCACACACAGGCTGATCAATAGATGCAGAGAGAGAGACCAGAGTCTATCGATCGGTCCTGCATTGGCTGTGATCCCTGCCAGTGCACAATCATTACACATTCACACTGTCCCTGCAACAACTATCATGAGTCAAAGTGAAGGCCAAGGTCATAAATAATGCAACAACACTTTTCCTTGCCACAATGTGAAGCCAGACCCCTAGGGGTTAAAGGATGTACATTGTAACAGTTTCAGACTTCTGTCTCAGTCAGTATCCTGTACCCAATGTATTAAACTCATGGGAATAAATACATTGACTAATCATTCATTGGATAATACAAAGGCAACCATGCATCTTCGAAATCATCAGGTACATAGGATACTCATTTATTTC